ACTGGAAACTGGGGAAGAACAGCCCAGGGCAGTGGTACAGACGGTCAGTCAAGGGGTATCTGGAGACTTGGTCATGTGGCCTACAGCCATGAAACCCGGTGTCCCTTGGCTTCCTCATTCATAAAATGGGAAAAGGAAAGTTGCCCTGCTCTCTTTGGGGTGCCACGAAGGACAAAGAAAGGTATCTAGGACACAGAAAAAAAAAAGACTATGGTAGGTTACAGAGTTCTATATGCATGATAATTTAAATTATTTTCCATATTTTCCATTTGAAAGGTGGAATTTTTACTTCTCCTTTTCTAAATGTCCCTCTCCATGGGGTGGCACCATGACATTGAGTCACCTCAGTTCATGGAACTATTAGAAGTTGATTTAGAAAAGATAAATTACTATTAAGAGGTAAAAAGCACTCTCTCTATTTTTTTTTTTTTTTTGCATTTTGAGAGACAAATGTTATTAATAATGGATTGCTTTTATATTGATACAGATTTGCTCACAAAGAGCTAAAGTACTTTGTACTTTATACATACATACAAAGTATGTAATATCTTCTATATCATCAATAGCAGGCTAGGCTTTTCCTTGGAACTAAATGAAATTTCTTCTCTGATCCTTTTCCCCTTCTTGTCCAGTTTAAATACAATTACAGGAAACATTTTAGAGCTGCTGGCTGCACAGTTAAGGGCTATGAAGTAGGGAGGAAATGGAAAGTCCGGCTTTGTGATGCCACCAGCTTTGGTTTTCTTTTTCTACATTCCTCTGGCAATTCGAGTCTTTTCTGGTTCCATACAAGTTTTAGGATTATTTGTTCCAGCTCTGTGAAAAAAGTTGATGGCATTTTGATAGGGATTGCTTTGAATGTGTAGATTGCTCTACGTAGCATAGATGTTTTAACAGTATTTATTGTTCCAGCCCATGAGCATGGAATGTTTTTCCATTTCTTTGTATCTTCCTCAACTTCTTTCATGAGTATTTTATAGTTTTCTGAGTACAGATCCTTTGCCTCTTTGGTTAGGTTTATTTCTAGGTATCCTATGGTTTTTGGTGCAATTGTAAATGGGATCGACTCCTTAATTTCTCTTTCTTCTATCTCATTGTTGGTGTATAGAAATGCAACTGATTACTGTGCATTGATTTTATATCCTGCCACTTTGCTGAATTCCTGCATGAGTTCTAGCAATTTTGGGGTGGAATCTTTTGGGTTTTCCACACAGAATATCATGTCATCTGTGAAGAGAGTTTGACTTCTTCTTTGCCGATTTAGATGCCTTTTATTTCTTTTTGTTGTCTGATTGCTTGGGCTAGGACTTTTAGTACTATGTTGGAGAGTGGACATCCCTGCCATGGTCCTGACCTTAGGGGAAAAGCTCTCAGTTTTTCCCCATTGAGAATGATATTTGCTGTGGGCTTTTTGTATACGGCTTTTATGATATTGAGGCATGTTCCCGCTATCCCTACACTGTGAAGAGTTTTAATCAAGAAAGGATACTGTACTTTGTCAAATACTCTTTCTGCATCTATTGAGAAGATCATATGGCTCTTGTCCTTTCTTTTATTCATGTAGTGTATCATGTTGATTGATTTGCAGATGTTGAACCAACCTTGCAGCCGAGGAATAAATCCCACTTGGTCATGGTGAATAATCCTTTTAATGTACTGTTGGATCCTATTGGCTAGTATCTTGGTGAGGATTTTGGCATCAATGTCCATCAGGGATATTGGTCTGTAATTCTCCTTTTTGGTGGGGTCTTTGTCTGGTTTTGGAATAAAAGTAATGCTGGCCTCATTGAAAGAGTTTGGAAGTTTTCCTTCCATTTCTATTTTTTGGAACTGCTTCAGAAGAATTGTTATTAATTCTTTAAATGTTTGGTAGAATTCCCTTGGGAAACCATCTGGTCCTGGGCTCTTGTTTGTTGGGAGATTTTTGATTACTACTTCAATTTCCTTGCTGGTTATGGGTCTGTTCAGGTTTTCTCTTTTTCCTGTTTCAGTTTATATGTCTCTAGGAATGCATCTATTTCTTCCAGATTGCCTAATTTGTTGGCATATAGTTGCTCATAATATGTTCTTATAATTGTTCGTATTTCTTCAGTGTTGGTTGTGATATCTTCTCTTTCATTCATGATTTTATTTATTTGGGTCCTTTCTCTTTTCTTTTTGATAAGTCTGGCCAGGGGTTTATCAATCTTACTAATTCTTTCAAAGAACCAACTCCTAGTTTTGTTGATCTGATCTGTTCTACTGTTCTTTTGGTTACTATTTCATTGATTTCTGGTCTAATCTTTATTAATTCTCTTCTTCTGCTGGATTTAAGTTTTATTTGCTCTTCTTTCTCTAGCTCCTTTAGGTGTAAGGCTAGGTTGTGTATTCGAGATCTTTCTTGTTTCTAGAGAAAGGCTTGTATTGCTATATACTTCCCTCTTAGGACAGTCTTTGCTGCATCCCAAAAGTTTTGAACAGTTGTGTTTTCATTTTCATTTGTTTCTATGATTTTTTAAAATTCTTCTTTAATTTCCTTGTTGACCCATTCATTCTTTAGTAGGATGCTCCTTAGCCTCCTTGTATTTGAGTTCTTTCCTCTTGTGAATGAGTTCCAGTTTCAAAGCATTGTGGTTTGAGAGTATGCAGGAAATGATCCCAATCTTTTGGTACTGGTTGAGAACTGATTTGTGACCCAGTATGTGATCTATTCTGGAGAATGTTCTATGTGCACTCAAAAAGAATGTCTATTCTGTTGCTTTAGGATGGAATGCTGTGAATATATCTGTGAAGTCCATCTGGTCCAGTGTGTCATTCAAAGCCCTTGTTTCCTTGTTGATCTGCTTAGATGATCTGTCCATTGCAGTGAGTGGGGTGTTAAAGTCCCCTACTATTATTGTATTTTTATCAATGTGTTTCTTTAATTTTTATATTAATTGGTTTATATAATTGGCTGCTCACATAAATATTTACAACTGTTAGATCTTGTTGGATAGACGCTTTAATTATGATATAGTGTCCTTCCTCAACTTTTATTACAGTCTTTCTTTAGTTTAAAATCTAATTTGTCTGCTATAAGGATTGCCACCCCAGCTTTCTTTTGATGTCCATTAGCATGATAAACGGTTTTCCACTCCTTCACTTTCAGTCTAGAGGTATCTTTGGGTCTAAAATGAGTCTCTTGCAGGGGCGCCTGGGTGGCTCAGTCGTTAAGCGTCTGCCTTCAGCTCAGGTCATGATCCCAGGGTCCTGGGATCGAGCCCCACATCAGGCTCGGTGGGAGGCCTGCTTCTCCCCCTCCCACTCCCCCTGGTTGTGTTCCTGCTTTTGCTATCTCTCTTTGTCAAATAAATAAATAAAATCTTTAAAAAAATAAAAAATAAAATGTGTCTCTTGCAGACAGCATATTGATGGGTCTTATTTTTTTTATCCAATCTGACACCCTGTGTCTTTTGATTGGGGCATTTAGCTCATTTACATTCAGAGTAACTATTGAAAGCTATGAATTTAGTGCCATTGTATTACCTGTAAAGTCCCTGTTTCTGTAGATTGTCTCTGTTCCTTTCTGGTCTATGTTACTCTCTTTGCTTAAAGGATCCCCTTTAATAATTCCTGCAGGGCTGGTTTAGTGATCACAAATCCTTTTAGGTTTTGTTTCTCCTGGAAGCTTTTTATCTCTTCTATTTTGAATGACAGCTTAGCTGGATACAGTATTCTTGGCTGCATATTTTTCTCATTTAGCAACCTGAATATATCATGCCAGTCCTTTCTAGCCTCCCAGGCCTTTGTGGATAGGTCTGCTACCAGTCTGATGTTTCTACCCTTGTAGATTATGGACCTCTTGTCCCTGAGCTGCTTGTCTCTGAGATTTGCAAGTTTCACTATTATATGTTGAGGTGTTGACCTATTTTTATTCATTTTGAGGGGGGTTCTCTGTACCTCCTGGACTTGAATGCCTGTTTCCTTCCCCAGATTAGGGAAGGGCTCTGCTATAATTTGCTTCAATATACCTTCTGCCCCCCAACCTCCAACTCTCTTTCCTCTTCTTCTGGGATCCCAATTATTCTAATATTGTTTCATTTTATGGTATCACTTATCTCTCAGATTCTCCCCTTGTGATCCAGTAGTTGTTTCTTTTTCTCAGCTTCTTTATTCTCCATCACTTTGTCTCCTATATCACTAATTCTCTCTTTTGCTCATTTATCCTAGCAATTAGAGCCTCCATTTTTTATTGCATCTCATTATAGCCTTTTTGATTTTGACTTGGTTAGATTTTAGTTCTTCTATTTCTCCAGAAAGGGATTCTCTAGTGTCTTCTATACTTTTTTCAAGCCCAGCTAATATCTGATATCTTTATAATCATTATTCTGAACTCTAGTTCTGACATCTTACTTATACCTATACTGATTAGGTCCCTGGCAGTCAGTGAGTTTTTCTATCTTGTCATTCTTGCAGAAAGTGGTCGCTTTTCTATTTGTAGAGTTGCAGCTATTCTTTTCTTAGAGCTCTGGTTGAGTTTGTCAGTGTTCAGAATGATTTGATAGCTATCTAGTTGAATTCTTGGGACCAGATAAAACTAAGGTCTCCTACTCTTCCACCATCTTGGACTATTCTCCAGGCAATGTATTTATTACTAGCACATCCTCAATTTCCTCCTTTCTTTCCTCCCTTCCTTTTTTCTTCTTACCTTCTCCTTTCTCCTTCCTTCCCTCCCTCTTTTCTGCCCTTCCTCTATTTCTCCCTCCATCCTTCCAGCATTCTTCCCCCTGCTGGGGGGTCCTCTTCTCCTCCTTTTCTGCTCTTCTTTTTTCTTTCTTATTTCTGTCTCTTTCTTTCTCTTGTCCTTCCTTCCCTAGGACACAAAGGGAGCAAGATCCAATCCTGCCCTCACAGAGTTTACCTTCAAATGGAGACGTTTCTCCTTTACAACCTTGTTTGTGTAACTTGCATAAAATAATCATATGTACACACCTCTTGTCTTCACACCAGATTTTGAAAGCTATCTCTAGCCATGTACTTACAGCTATGGAAAACCGCTGAATGTTTTCATCCTCACAGTCTTGGATGACCTTATTCAGTCGATGGTTGTCATGGGATTCCCCATCAGTCACAATTACCATGACTTTTTTAACTCCCCTTCGGGCACCCCGGGCTTCAGTGAAAGCCTCCTTCCTGAAGTGATCACAGAGGAAAGAGAAGCAAATAAAATACCACTTGAAGGTTAGGCAAAGTGATAAACAAAAGAAAAACACTGACAACTCTAGTTAGAACAGTGCTGTCCCTCCACGATCAACACTCACAACCACTGTTCAAGCTGGGAGGCATGAAGATCATTATTCGTAATAGTCTTAGATTTCTCCCAGATGATGAAGAGGTCACCATTTTACTAATCATCACATATCCCATATACAAAGGGCAGCACTATTTCATTCTTCGGAAACTTCTCAGGGAAGGTGTGACTGGAGCACACATCAGATCTGGAGAAGGTCAGATCTTAAATACTTGCTCAACCACTCCTTTCTCTATAAACACTCCTCTTTTCTTCTGCTTTAAGCAGAAGGTTTTGCTTGTCCTCACTTCCACCACATCCATTCTGACATTTATAGAACAGTATGGAAATCCTCTGAGCTGAGGAGGTGTGCTGGGAGAAAACAGAATTTTGTATGGCTGGAATGCTTGAGAGTGCTCTTGGATATGGGGAAAAAATGGACATAGTAATAAAAGACTGCAGATGGCTGTGGTCTGAGTCAGTGATAGAGCAGGGCTGTGGGGGGCAAGAGTGGATGGAGTAGCTATGAAAGATTTGGTCTGAACTAGGTTTTAGGACACAGGCTGCTGGGGGTAGGGTGGAAGAAAGCAGCACAAAGAGAAAGGAAAATGCTATAACCTAACTGCAAAGAAAGGAATTTCTTATTTAATTCAAAAAGCATTTATGGAAAGTGATGGAAGAGAGGGGAAATTAACAATTTTTGTTGTTTTGTGCTTACACATACACACACACACACACACACAGGGGCATATTTTCCCTCTATTATTTTCTTTCACTCACTCACTTTCCTTTCTGGAGTCAAGTACATTTTACTTAGGAATGAAAGCATGAAAGGATTTCATATAATATTTTTTAGATCTTGGTATAAAATGCAGCAATCATTATACTGAATGGTCTATTTCAATATTTTTCTTTGGTCATGAGGACAAACAGCTGCAGTTTGGGATATGCCAAAAAAACATTTCTCTTAACTAACCTTCCAAAGGGTTTGCACAATACACATTAGTTTTACTGCAGATACACAGTAAATATACACAGTGGTGGGTATCTTGTGAGCCAGCTAAAAGATCCCGGTGATGTGGGCAAAGGGATTTTATCTCTGTTTATTTTCCTTTAAAAGGGCTAAATGTCAATATGACAAGATGTTAACAATTGTTGATTTGTTTGGTGAGTACACAGGATTTTGTTGTACTATTTTTTACATTTTTAATTTTTCTTATAATTTTCTTTTTTTTTTTTTTAAAGATTTTATTTATTTGACAGAGACACAGTGAGAGAGGGAACACCAGCAGGGGGAGTGGGAGAGGGAGAAGCAGGCTTCCCGTTGAGCAAGGAGCCCGATGTGGGGCTCGATCCCAGGACCCTGGGATCATGACCTAAGCCGAAGGCAGACACTTAACGACTGAGCCACCCAGGCGCCCCTATAATTTTCAAAATAAAGAAACTATTTGAAAAAGTTAGCCACTAGGGAACTGTGTATCTCTGCCCTCTACACTACACAGATAGATTTTCTGACTTCTTTATATGCACAAAAGTGAAAACAGATGTTAGAGGCTAGTCTTTATTTTTTTATTATATATATATTTTAAAGATTTTATTTATTTATTTGAGACAGAGAGAGAGAACAAGCGGGAGGAGCAACAGAGGGAGAGGGAGAAGCAGGCTCCCTGTTCGAGCAGGGAGTCCAATGCGGGACTCGATCCCAGGACCCTGGGATCATGACCTGAGCCAAAGGCAGATGCCCAACCGACTGAGCCACCGAGGTGCCCCAAAGGCTCGTCTTTAAATGAAGTTCAGACATGGATATCATATAAGATTCTATCCTTTTTGCAGTCCTAACTCCTTAGAGGATCACCAAAACTTTCCAGTTCTCTTGAAGATCCAGGCCATTACTGAATGAACCTCAACCAATGGAGATGATTAAAAGACATTTCTTAAAGAAAATTTGGTAAATCTAAACAGGGGTTGGTTTTATATAATGTAAGAGTAGCCACTGGCAGAACTCCTGAGTACACTCTTTCTGTTTCAAATATCTTCAGCAAATTGCCCTTTACCCCCAAAATACTACCATCCAATGAAAATAGAAGCAAAGGATTCTAACAAATGAAAAATATTATTTGCAACTGGCCCTGCCTAAAAGGAATAAAGAACAATTAAAAATATGCTTCAGTGTGAAAAACTAATGTATAAGAAGGATACTTAGTAATACCATTATTGAGTTTTATTTATATACAAAACTCAATAAATTATGTGTCTGACAGCTAGACCCTTTGTGAAACATGTAGGCAAAAACCATATAGGGTCATGGAATTTAGAGTGTATTTATGCAGGAGCAAAGCAGCCAGAATATTTCTTCAGTTAGTTTTCAAAGATGAATATTCATTCTTAAGTGGTTGCCTTTGGAAAAACACAGCTCCCTACAGGCTCAGAGCTTTCAAAGAACACTTTGATTTACTTTGAATGTGCAGTCACATTTAGTCAATTATTTAAGAGGGTACATTCAGTACATCTCAACATGTGCACTCTTTGTGCATGCAAATTGGTGATCCTATAAGCAGGTAAATGTAAAATTACCCCATCTGTTTGTGGTTATTTTCTCTTGAGCCCCATATAACTAGAACCACATGCTTCTCTAACACTTACGAGTCTAAGGCTGCACATGAAATTTTAAATTTTTGAATATCCAACCCATTCTTTGGAATATCCATGTTAACTATTTTAACCCCCTTAAAATACTGATCTTAACAGGCAGGTGAAATGAGAGCATGGCTAATTAGTTCTTTAAAATCAGATGAGAGTCCAGAAGTTGAAGACACTTAACAGAAGAATCCTTAATATTAGTCAAACTATTTATTAGATTTCCTGTGATACTGTATTGTTTAGTTTTTGTTCAGAAACTTACTAGCTTTAAAGGCAACTTAGGAAGAAAATAGCAAGAGATGAGTTGAATGCAGTTCGGAAAAATATAGAAAACCTGTTTCACAGTGTAATCAAAGGACAGTTCTGTAGCTTCTCATAGAATGAAGTTCAGACAGAGTGGATTATGTGTTCTTCATGGAGGTATAGGAGAAAGGAATGGATGTAAATTAGAGGGAATTTGGAGAAAGGAAGAAAGAAAGAGTGCACAAATGATGAAGTTCTTGCAACTTCTTTTAATCTTTTCACTGAAAATGATTTCAAATACAGCAATATTGAATTTGACCCCTTAAAAACTCTTACTTGAGAGCTTCAATAACCCTAAATCAGGTACTGTAAAATTATGGACATACTAGGATATAAATATATATTGAGTAGAAGTGGATGAATATTAATCTTTTTTTTAAAAATGAGATTCCTAGAAGCTGTAGACAAAGAACAAAGGGAAAAGATATTCACTAATATTATGTCTTAGTACCCAAGAACATGATGCAGCAGACTACAGTAATTTTCTGATTTTTCCATCATTTCAACCTTTGGAATAAGAGGAAAGATATGAAGGGTGGGGAGACTATATTGTAGAAAAACTTGATCCGATAACTATTAATCAGTGGGATCTAGTTTTAAAAAAAAGATGGCTTTAAATATTGCCAAGGTAAATGTTCATTCGACACCCCAAAGGGTTTGATTGTGAGCAGTTATTTTTGCACAATCTTTTACTTTGGTTTATTTTTTAATCCACATACCTGGCTGTGTCTATTCCAAGGGCTGTCATAGTCTGGCGGCCACCTCTCTGGATTATTTTATTTGCTGCAACAAGTACCTCTTCTGTTGATGAATACTTATTGAGGTTGAACTCATGGGTTACATTTTCTCCATACTGTACAATTCCAACCTGAAATACCAAGCCACTCTTGAGTTATCCATCTAGCAATGCTCCGTTTTCAATTTTCTTTAGTTTAAACCTGTAGATCAGATATACTTTTTTGTCTCTCAGATGAGTTTAAAAATTCATCAGTACACAAATCCTTCTGTTTTGACAGCAATAACCATTGCCACTTGTGGATATTCACAGCCCAAAGAACAAGAATGATAGTACTATTATTAAACTTCCCAAACAATTGGTTTATATCTTCAATAGTTTCTACTGGATGACTCTGGCAGGCTTTGGTGGGTAGAAGGTGCTACACACTGACAGGCTCTCTGCCTTCACGGAGTTTCTAAACTAGAGAGAGCGAGAGAGAGAGAGAGAGGGAGATTCAACACATGATCATTCCAATGCATGTTCAACTGTGGAGAGGGCTATCATGCTGTTTAGCAAGTAGAACCTAAGGCCCTACTTCAGAAGAGGCTCAGGGAAAGCCTCTTAGTAGTGATAATCAAGTTAAGACTGACAGGTGCAAGGAGTGTGGAGACCTGTCCTGAATGGAGGCTGAGTGGGAGGATGGGGTCCACATGAGGAGAATCTGTATGTAAAGAAGATAAGATGAGCAAAAAGCAAGGGACGTCCTGAGAACCAAAAGGAAGTCAGTGAGCCTGGACCAGGCTGTGAGGGGAAGTGAAACAAGATGAGGCCGGATGAGTAATAAGCGGGGCATGTATCTGGGGAGGGCACATATGTGCTTCAGGCTTTATCGAGTTCAGGCGTAGCTTCATTTCTCTCACGCCAGCCCTTCCACCATCCCTTTTCATGTTATCTGTCTTCCCTTTCTGCCTTCCTCCTTTCACTCTGTCCTTTGCACAGACTGGATAATTTGGGCAGCTAACTGCAAAGCCACCATAGAGTAAAATGATACAGAGGGTAAAGTGTCCCCAGATTTGATTTCCTTTGCTTCCTATACCTCCCCCCTCCCAGAGATGCCCATTTTTCTTAACCTTTTTCTATACCTTTCCTTAAATGTTTATGTGAACCAATAGACTAATCTATATCAAGAACCGTGACTGGAGATAACTTTTTGTTTAATTTTCTCTACTCAAAATTCGAGATTCAGAGAATTCTATACCCAAAGGAACGTCTTTTTAATGTAGAAATCTGGGCACTACATTTCTTGGGTTGGGGAAGCGATTTGAGACAAGGCTGCCTTCTTTCCCAGGCAATTGTGTAGTTTGTCCATTGATAAAGTTGCCTCATGCTTGCTTCAGACCCATTCTATTTCCAAGTCTGATCCTATTTCCAAGTGGCAGAGGGGATTGGCATCTACCTTCCAGCTTCCCTTGCAGATGTCACTGTTTTCAGAAATCTTTAGGCTTACTTACGTGTCTGATTTAATGATACATTTCCACAGTTGTGTCTTTCTTCTTGGAAACCAGAAGTATACTCTGGCATTTTCAGAAACCAATAGGAGAACCTTCCAATTTAAAATAATCTTTATCATCTTTGAGCTACGTTCTAGAGTGCTTTAGAAATCGTGGACCAATTAAGGCCACTATACTTAAATAAGAGTAGTATCGTATATTTTTAATGCTTTTCAAAAATTTTTTTCCCAATTTATTCAGATTATAGTAACAGAAACTAGTACCACATTTTATAAATGAGGAATTTAAGTTTAAAATACTCCTCATGGTAAAGGGGCAGAAAAGGGTCTAGTCTAAGATGTGAGTCCCTTATCCCAGGGCTTTTTCCATCACTCTACTTCCTCTCTACAAAAACACACCTCCCTAAAGTCCCCGCATTCTCTGTCACCTCATTCTGCCAGTTTCTACTAAATGCTGCTATCATATCATTGCTACTTGATGAATTTAATGAGCTAGCTACCTAATTGAGATGCACTGGAGAATATAATAAAGCAAAGCAAACAAACAAACAGATCATATTTTAAAAATGGAACATATTAATCCTTCCTTAGAGTTGCTTAGTTGGGTATAGGATAAATAAGAAATAACCAGAGAGCATATTCGAGTGTAAGATAAGGTGCATAATAGGCTGAGTGAACATGCAATCTGCTCAGTTCATGTCCAGGATAACCCTGATCTTCTATGAACATATCTTTCACTATCTAGTCCAAGATTATGTGCCATTATAATTGGAATAAAGATGACGAGAAGTCCCTTTGGAAATAAAGTAGGCTACAACCAACTAATCATGCAAAACATAATAAAATGAATGAGGACACACCCATAACTCCCAACTCAGGTTATTTCTTTGAATTAAATGTTATGGATAGTTCTCTATTACTCTCCGCAAAGATTTAAAAATATTATCCCAATGACCTTTATAGCTTTTAATTAATAATTCAGGGAGAAACTGAATAATTATTAAGGGAAACCATGAAGGTTTGACATTGTCTTTGCATATATAAATATTCAATGTAAATAAAGGTAAAATGATTTTGCTACTTAGATAATCATTATGCCTGTTTTTGGGTATCAAAATGAATAAATGCTATTGTGGAAGTTAATTGCTCACCCATTCAGGACATCTTACAGAGTTGCTTTGTTTTTCTTTCCCTTTGTTTTTATTTGATTAAGCAGGAGACCAAAGAACTCTGAAAACTGTCATTCCTGTCATTACTCTTGGATATTTTACTACTTGGGTGCATCTAGTGAACACCCTAATCTCTCATTTGGATAATCTATTGAATAGCCTAGTCTCTTATTTCTTTGACTTCCTCATCTTCAGTAATTTTTTCCTCTAGGTCACCTATGTTGTTCACTCTCAAGGTCTTATCCTTGACCTTCTCAACAGGAAGAACAGCAGTACCTCCATCTCAATTGCAAGTGTTCGTCTGTCTGACCATTAACTTCAGCTCATTTACCTAGTATATCTAATTCATCAATTCCTTCACCACATCAAGACTTCCAATTAATTCAGAGATCGTATTTTTTTTTTAATTTAGCATAGATTTCATGGTCCATCACCACAATCATTTACTTGCAAACTTTAACTCCTTTAACCTTTTTTCCCCTCCATTAACTCACTTGGCTAACTTCCAACTCTGGTTAAGTCCAAATATCTTCTTTTCTTTGCGAACTTTTGTGACACTAAATGTTTCTAGACAGAAATCACACAACTTATAGACTAGTCTCACTTTAAAGTTATGGCCATGAATCTCTAATGTGGTTGCACATAACACTGACCAACAGTCCTACTGCTTCGTACTAATGAGTGCACTTTGCTCCCATTTATTGAGTTCAATCGAATTCTAGTCATAAACTATTAACTGCTCAGGAAAAAGAGAGTATCACACTGATACATGGGGAGGAGGTCACATGAAAAGAGGGAGAATTTATGCGGATTAAACAAGGCTGTTTTGTGCCATAATATTTGACATTTGCAACATACTTTACATATCTTATAAAACCTTCTATGAACTATTGGATTATCTGGACACCAGAAATAGCAGAAAAATTTTAGCCCCTTGGTAAGTCAGAAATCAGTGCTTTATATCTTTTCCCTCTCTCTCTTTCTCTACCGACTTAACATATATCTCAATTCCATAAGTTTATTCTTTAGAGAACTTATAACTGCCAGTTGCCTCACGCTTCCTTTATACTTTGCTTCTAACAACTCCATGGGAGAGTCTCTTCAAATGGCTGACTGCCCTTCGACTGCTAGAGCTGCTTTGCCCCAGAGGCTCAAAGAGCCAGAAGTACCTGGAAATATTCTCCCTCCTCACCCCTTGCCCTGCTCCATAGATGATGTCTGAGTCCAGGCAGGGAAAGATCAGTCCCTTGACTCAACTTGGAGTTCCCCTTCCAGATCAGCCTGAGGTCTTGATTTCACCTGAAATCACACCCTTGGTTGTCCTCAGTTGCTACTGTTGCGCTCCCCCAAATCTCTTACTATTTTCTGTTAAAAGCACTCCCTTAGTAAGTCACTGTCACTTGGCTCATTTTCTCAGGGTTTGTGTCTGGGAAACCAGACCTAAGGGAAGGAGAGAGGATATAAAGCACTGATTTCTGACTTACCAAGGGGCTAAAATTTTTCTGCTATTCCTGATGTCCAAATAATCCAATAGTTCACAGAAGGTTTTATAAGATATGTAAAGTATGTTGCAAATGTCAAATATTATGGCACAAAGCAGCCTTGTTTAATTGGCATAAATTCTACCTCTTTTCCTGTGAGCTATTATCCCTGTTTCTGAATTTCTTCATTGGCCCAGGCCAGACCTCACTGCCTTGAACCTGGACTGTGGCAATCGTTGGTCTCTCTGCCCTTGCTCTCCCTCAGATTTCCATTCTCCTCAGCTCCATCTACATATTCATGGAAGATTAACTGTCTTGAAATTCTGCTTTTATCACATAACTTCCTTCTTCAAAAATCTCTAATAACTCTCCATTGCCTACTACATCAATGACTTTGAAATATACTTTAAAAGAGAATTTTTATTCTACTTAAGATGGAAAACAGATAAAACTTCAAGGTGTTCCTTGAAATACTAGACCTGTAGGGTAAAATTCAGTTTTCTTTCCCTGACCTGCAGTCACTCAACAGCCTGACTGCACCTCTTTGTTCCCCCTCAACTCTAGGATTCCCCAGTCTGAGTGCTGTCCCTACCCTTTCTCATCCCCTGAATAAAACTAAATTTTTATTACCCATTCTGGAAGATTCAATTCAAGTTTCACTTTTTCTGCAAAACTTTCCCTACCTAATCACCAATCTAGATAATACTGATCTTGCTCTTTGAGCCCTGAGGCAAATTTGTCTGCTTTGCTCCTGTGAGTACAGCATTCTTCTCAACTGCTTTGTATGTGTGCTTTATCTTCCCAACTACGTTATATGTTCCAGAGGGGCAAGGAGGGGTAAAGAGCGTGGACTATGTCACAGCTTTTGGTATTCTGTTATCCCACGCCACTGCTTTGCTTTGCTTACAGTTGACCCGCATACATTCTTACTAGATGACTGTAACATTTCACATAAGCAAGTAGAAAATTGAGATAGCAGGGAAATAATGA